CCAATCGACCTCTTCGAATCTTATGCGCTCCTGGCTACGCTATCGATCACCGTAGATCATCGATCGTCATTATCGATGATCGTGCGAGCGATCGAGACCCATGGACGAAATCGAGAAGCGATATCGACCGAAATCGAGGCTTGGAAACGCCGAGAACTCGAGCATCCGATTATTATATCGTATTCGTATCGTTCGGAGACGTATGCTCGCGACTTGTCAGCGTAAAGCACGAGGTACTTCCACCTCTACCGCGCAATTTCCCCCCCACTATATAGCTGCCGAGGAAATTTCTCTGGGCAGTGGGCATCCGTGGGCACCGTGCTCTCTCTCTCTCTCTCTCTCTCTCTGTCTGTCTGTCTGTCCCGGAATCCGGATCATTTTACATTGTAGCGCGAACCCAAGTATGTAATCGGGAGCGATCGAGCTAGAACCTCCTTGTAACGGGGATCAAAATTGTCGCACTCGAACACTGTATCCACTTATTTGAAACTTATTTGAACATTCTACTATACGGCTCACCGTCGTTTACGAATGCAAAGAAATTGTTTTTGCTATCGATAGTGTGTCACAGTGAAAACATTGTTAGCCAGTTTCGGATGTTTATCCGGTCGAAATAAGATACACGATGCCACAAAGAATGCCTGTATCGGAGGTAGGCTAATTTGTGGCACTCTCGAGTATCGGCATCGACGCTGCTTCAGCAAGAAAATCAAGCTTTTTATACGTACTATTTGTTTGCGCTAACGCAATATGCAAACTTTATCGTTATCGGAGAATAGTATCGAAGTCGCGATATTTCATTCGACGAGCCCATCGTTTCCGAATTGTCGAGTGCGCCGTACGAATTTGCGAGTTCCAAATCCTAAAACGGGGCTGTGTCGCGCGCGATACGAATCGTGCACGCGTCAAATTGGCTCGCTTTACCGTCAGATGGCAACTCGGTTGCAGCGGACCAGCACTCTCGACGCGACGGCGGTGAGACTGCGTCGTGTCAGCGTCGGCTATAAACCAGCTCGGCGCGCCCATCGAGCAAAACAATAATATTCCACCGCGCACGAGTTTCAATTTTGTGCGAAGCTCGGAAGCAGTCGACGAAAGCGGTACTCGATTCGAATCTTCGTAAGTGTACCATCGGTATCTCTCTATTAGCTTAGTTCAGGATTTCAAGCACGAACGGAGATTTCACGATTCGTTGGTTAAGCTCGCGTTCGTTCGTCTTCGTTGTAGAAAAATTCGTCCTTCTTAACCGACAGTCGATACTATTAGGCCGTGAGATACCAAATGTCTAATTTGGAATCCTCCGCAACTTGATTTCTCTGCGAACAATTATATTCTTATTTCTTATTGATACTAGAAAACCGTGAATCAGTTTCCGTCGCGCTGCGATCGCATATCGGGGTCGACGGACGCGGTTACATCGAGCAGATAATCGAAAACATCGCGAAATGAAATCGCGGAATGAGAAGAAGTCGGAAAGTAGCGAGATTGCGCGCGCGCGCGCGCGAACCATTCATGGATCGCGGTCTGTTCGATTTCTGCTCGCTACTCGCTACAACTTCGTGTTTCCTCGACCTAACCCCGACGATCGCGTATCGAACGTGTAACGTTCGTCGTCCGATTTCGAAGGAATCCGCGGGGATGCCGGGTAGCTGAAAAGTATAAAAACTGATTCGTAATTGGTCCGATCGAATTACGAAATTTTGTCCTCGGTGAAGTCGATGCTCGTCCCGATCTTATTAATTATAACTGCGCGATACAACCGAGCCATAGAATATACGCGACACTGCCGTATCGTTTACATTCGCAATCGCATGGAATACGATCCGTGGAGAGTTACCGTTTCTTCGCAAGCCGACGGACGCGAAAATTTCGTTTTTCGTTGAACTTGTCCGTCGTTGACGACGGATCGGAACGGAACGGAACGAAACGTGGAAGTTCGGGTGGAGAAACGAACTTTGCGCATCGTATCTTGTTCTCGAAACGTGTCCGTCTACCTGTGCCACTGTACCATCGTAGTAGGACTGTAGCACTGTAGTAGCACTGTAGCACAGGCATATTTTCACAGCGACAGAATTGGAGTCGTGCCAAAATCCGATCGTATGACTAATATTCGATGGCGGAGCTCGTGCTTTGTTCGTATATGACGTAAATACAACGAAGAATCGACGCTCCGAGAGCACAAGTTGATTCGTCGAGCGAGCGAACGACCAAACGTTACCTCCGACTCTCTTCAATCGATGAACCGTACAACTATTATTAATCGCGATCGTCCGATCGCGCTCGTACGCTACAGGTGGGAAGATTCTCGACCTCGACACGCCTGTGTACTCGATGTCCCAGCTAATATTTCTAATCTTTCGAGAAATAACATTCCGTTCTCGCTTTTACATCGAAGACCGCTCGTACGATAAAAAGAGTAATTTGCTATTGGACGCTATACGCTATTTCGCTTAGCCGATAATATCCACATTATACGATAGTACGAAACGAAGTGCGATGCGTTCGAAAGGGAGAGTAAGAGCAAGAGTAAGAACGAAAACGAGAACGGGAGATGAAAAGTATGGTAGAGA